TATATATAGTATATATAGTATGTATGTAGTATATATAATATATAAATTATATATATAGTATATATAGTATATATACATATATATACTATATATAGTATATATTATATACATAATATATAGTATATATAGTATATATATAGCATATATATACTATATATAGTGTGTGTGTGTGTGTGCTGAAAAAATACATGTACATGTCTTGAAACACACGTTTGGAACAAGAAAAGACGTCGATTTGAATGAAGCGGGAAGAAGATTAATTAATCCTACCTTTGTGTGAAGAAACGCCAGGGACTTGTTCACGTTCTCGATTTTGTGCACTCGCATGCGGCCATTGTTAGGTTTGGCCAGTCGTTCGCCGGAGATGATCTCCAGCAGTTTTAGCAACTTCTTGCCGTCCGCTAGATCCGTAAATAAATCCTCCACTTCCATGCGTGCCTGCGAAGTGAAAGTAATCGAATACAACAACGATCTACGCCGAGGTCTCACTTCCTGTCTAGATACATCCAACCTGTCTGATTGGAAGTAACGTGACATTTTTTTCCCCCTACACACAGGTATTCTCGCGTCGTCCAAATGTTCACTTTGAGGACAATTCTACTTTAACCGGAGGAATTAAATAAAAAAATTCTTCTCTCTGGAGTTACTGCTAATTTTTGAAAGAAATTATTTTTGAAAAAAAAAAAAAGAGAGAAAAGAGACGAAATAATAATACCTTCAACAGAAACGAGTTGATCCATTTGGTGAACGTCTTCTTCTGTATGTGCAGACGTTCCTCCTGCAGGGCCTTGATACGGCCCTGCTCGAACCTCAATGTATCCTCCCTTTGAGTCATTCTTTTCTGTATGTCGGTACCACCCCTGTATTTGTCGATTCTGGACGGTGGATAGCTCGGTGGTGGCACGTAGTTGTAGATGTAGCTCCTGTTCTGGGGTGCAGCGCCAAGCCCAGCGCCGGGCACATACTGCGCCCCTGAAAAACACCAAACATTTCGCCAGAATTAGACCAGGCTTTAAACACACCGGCGCATCCCGGTGTTTCTCGACATTTTACAGAAACACTCGCGACGGAAACGGAAGACCCCTGTTTCACGGAAATCGAGGGGACGAGAGTTCTTCTTACGAATTTGTCGGGGAAATTTTCAAACGATTCTATTTCAGTAAGTAATGTGGTAAAATACGGCACTATAAATAGAGATTATATGACGCGGAGAGTTACAAATCATACCGAGATAAATCAACCTACAATCGTTATTCAGCCTACCAAGTATGTAAGATTCACGATGAAAATTAACACTGTCAAAATGGTCAAAAATGGTCAAAATAGTCAAAAATGGTCAAAATGGTCAAAAAATGACCAATTTATAATTTTCTATGGAAATTTTGTACACTTATGATAGTGTGATTTTTTCACACGCTCGATAAAATATATTAAGCTTGTGTTCTTTATTGTATTATTAACTTTTCATTGTACGAACGGCTACGAATCATACTAAAATATTATAATACTGTTATATATAATATCAGTGGCCGGTAGTTCTACTGTTAAAAATGATTTCTCCCTAAATTTTATTTCATTATCGTTCAACGCTTAAAAGTAGAAGAAAATTATCTACAATTTTTGACACTCAGCTTTGAAACTCATGTTAATCCTAAAACCAACGATTTCTTCGCCATTTGCCTCGTGACACGGTAGCGAAGCGAAGCGAAGACAGCCACATTAAAACCTAGTTTTTCCGTTCGCCCACCAAAGCGAGCGATTCGCATTCGCGTGCACGTTTTATTCGGTCCATACAAGGGGGGAAAAAATTTATGACACATGCCGGTTCGTCGACGATAGTAACGATAAACCCCCGTGGACAATAATTCTGTCGAGTCACGAACGCCGGTAAAAAAACGAAACGGTTCTACCGGGTGAACGTCGTTCGCGCTTTGCTCTTTATTTACCTTGAGCGGCATTTCACCGCGACGCTACTCCCTTTTTCTTTATCCTTTCTTCTTTTTTCTTTTTTTTTTTTTATTATGGCCCGCCATTGTCCGCCGAAAAAGACGCGGACAATTGATTTCACTCGGTGATTTAACTCGTAAAAGTCACGGAACGTGATTTCTTTTCGCGAGGCGAAAGAACGGAAGAAGTTAAAGCAGAAGACCGACCGTAAAATCAATCAGTCGTGATTTTTCAATGTCGAGCTTGTTATCAGGATGCTGAAGGATGCACCGAGCTAGAATTCATCTCGGTACTCGTTTCAAGAAATTTCAAGAATTTTTCCTCTTTTCCACGCGATCGTGAAGAAGACCCGAGGAGGGTTTTTCATATTTTTTCTAGCAGCTCTCCTGATCTCTTCGAGCAATCGCGTATCGTCTGATTCTCGACAATAATCTGCCGGTGATTTATCAAAGGCAAACAATGCAATAAAGCATCGTGTTCTCAAATTTTTTTTTTTTTTCACTCTCTTAGAAGCGCTTATCCAATCTAATCTGGTGATAAAAATGTTTTAGAGAAAATACATGCGAAGATTCTCCCTCACGAATAAACGACGATTAAAATGAAATGTCTTTTTAAAGAAGGGAATTATTGAACTTTAACACTTGTCCGAAGTCCAGGCAACGTTCCTTATCGCACGCTGATGTATGTGCATCCAATAATCAATTCATATCGCGCATTATCGTTCGAGATTAACTTTAGCAAGTGTTTGTGTAATGTTTCCCGAGAAAAAAGAGAGAACATCGCGAGCAAAGACGTTGAGGATAATTTTCCATTTCCACAACGTGGAAACGATTCCTCCACCCTCAGCGGAAGATACTTTATCGAAACCCCCCCCCCCCTGCTGATAGCACCAATGATTGAAATAATCGTGACAACAATGCGATGACATAGTTCCCCTTTCGCTTCGCGTAATTTTATACACGTGGTATAAATTTTTTAACACTAGAACTACCAAGTGAAAATGACTGGTTTTACAATTTTATTTTCAAATTTCTAATTCACCTTACATTTCCCCCCCCCCCCC